GAGACCTGCAAAGTCATCAAAACGAACAAAACGAACAAAAATTTTCTGCCCCAGTTTGGACTAGGAAAATTTTGTGAGTTATTAGCGAAAGCTATAAACTATCTAATTTATTGAAGGCAAAGGAATTAAAGGTGGTACCCTGTATTACTAGGAAGGAAATGGAATCAGGTGTTAGCACCATGTATTATTGATAAAGTGCTGGATCCCCCTAGGCGAAAGGATTTTATCTGAGTTAAGCTGCGTGAAACAACCTGAGCGAAGAGTACTTCTACTCGGAACTATGAGCTGGATCCCCCTAAAATGATTCTACCTGAGTTAAGCTACATAAAACACCCTGAGCGAAGAGTACTTCTACTCGGAACTACGAGCTGGATCCCCCTAGGCAAAAGGATTCTACCTGAGTTAAACAGTGTAAAACACCCTGAGCGAAGAGTATTTCTACTCGGAACTATGAGCTGGATCCCCCTAGGCGAAAGGATTCTACCTGAGTTAAGCTGTGTAAAACACCCTGAGCGAAGAGTACTTCTACTCGGAGCTATGAGCTGGATCTTTTTCCCCCTAGGCGAAAGGATTCTACCTGAGTTAAGCTATGTAAAACACCCTGAGCGAAGAGTACTTCTACTCGGAACTACGAGCTTGATCCCCCTAGGCGAAAGGATTCTACCTGAGTTAAGCAGTGTAAAACACCCTGAGCGAAGAGTACTTCTACTCGGAACTATGAGCTGGATCCCCTAGGCGAAAAGATTCTACCTGAGTTAAGCTACGAAAATGGGAGATGTGAACAATAGTGATGCATGCTAAAAAGAGAAAAAATGGAGATTTTAAGAAGCTTACGTTTGGTGACGTTCATCTTTTAGAATTTCCATTCTGCACCGCTTTGTTCCTGCTTCAAACAAAGAGAGATTTATGAGTTTTCAAAGTGGTGGTTGGTTTGTGGCCTTGATGCCTTGAGTAGTTTGATTCACGGCCACTGCTGTCGAAGAACCGATTCTGTCAGCGTGGTACCGAGATGCTCGGCTGCTCTGTATCATTTTCTAGAGACCTTGGATTTACATTATTTCCCCCAACTGTTTCATACCCAGATGTCCATGGTACCACTACCCTTGTCTCTAAGGCAATGCATTTTTTTTCTTTAAAATCAAACTCAGTTGTCTTGCACCCAGTATCAGTTTGTGTCCGTAGTGCTTATCAACTTTCTCATGAAGCAGGTCCTGCTCATGCGACTTTTTAGTTTCTTTAAAACACTTTGTTTGCTTTATCAAATGAGATCTCAGATGGATTCGTGCCTTCGCCAATGCCATATATGCCCCAAATTGTGCTCGATATTACGGGGGAATTGTAGCTAGTTTTGCAGCCATTTCTTTGTTTTGCTTTTGATGCAGGATTAGACCGAAAGGGACTCAAAGAAAAATTATGGTAAAAACGGAATAATAATTGAAAGTAAAAAAGAATAGTGTTTAAACAGAAGATGTCCCTTTACGAGGAAAGGAANTATCCCTGTCTCATCTGAAGGGATGATTCCAATCGATCAACTGAAGGAGTTCATCGAAGGAACCATTAAGAACAAATATGAAGTTGCTGCCAAATCCTCCCTTACATATGCAAAGCCGTACACTGCAAGGGTCGATATGTTGAAGATGCCTGCTGGCTATCAACCTCCGAAGTTTCAACAGTTTGATGGTAAAGGTAACCCAAAGCAACATGTTGCGCACTTCGTGAAGACGTGCAACAATGCTGGGACTTATGGAGATTACCTCATCAAGCAGTTTGTCCGCTCACAAAAACGAAATGCTTTTGACTGGTACACGGACCTCGAGGCTGGATCTATCGATAGCTGGGATCAACTAGAGCAAGAGTTCCTCAATCGCTTTTATAGTACGAGACGTACTGTGAGTATGATAGAACTTACAAATACTCGTCAAGGAAAGGGGGAACCAGTTATCGACTTTATCAATCAGTGGAGGAATGCAAGCCTCAACTGCAAAGACAGGGTTAGTGAAGCTTCAGGCATAGAGATGTGCATCCAAAGGCATGCATTGGGGATTGCGCTACATCTTGCAAGATATCAAGCCTAGCACATTTGAAGAACTTGCAGCTCGTGCCCATGATATGGAATTGAGCATGGCCTCCGCTGGAAATGAAAGGCTGCCCATCTATGAACCTCGCAAAGGGAATGACAAGCAAGAAGTCAGGAAGTGGGCCAAGTTCGTACCCAAGTCTGAAAGCAAAGAAGCTATGAATGTCAACACGTCACCAGAAGTTATAACAAAAAGCAAGAGAGAGCTCGTGGATCAAACACCGCAAATTTCTCTACAAGTTTCAGGCTTCAAGCAACCAAGTTCAAGTTCAAGAAATCAAGTTCAAGCTCAAGAACGAAGAACGAATCAAGATCAAGTTCAAGCAATCAAGCTCCAGCTGAAGCTCAAGAACAAGATCATCGTTCGTGAAAAAAATATAGATTCAAGATCAAGCTCAAATGCCCTTGAATTTATTTACTATTGGAAGGAAGAATCAGAGGATTCATAGAGATTGCACACTCAAATATTCGAAATCAAATACTACAATTATTGCGATATTTTCGGTCTTGATCTTATTTTCTCGATGCAAATTTATTATCCACAGTAAATATGGGTACTTCTTTTTAGTAGTTGATTATAGTTTTCAATTCACTTTAAAGATTACAGATCTTGTAATTTGATTATCTTCTACGAGATAATTTGAACTAATTACTGGTATAAAATGGCCGCCATTATTTGTAAGCAATGATTTGAATAAACCTTTCTAAGTTGCAACTGAACATTAAAACTTACCTGATGAATATGTGCCTAGCATTGCCAAATTTATTTAATACTATCCATATAGATATTATAAATTGTTAATTAATTAGTTATTCATGCACTAGATTTGATAGTTGCATATCTAACATTCTCACCTTTTCAGGAAGTGTATTGAGTTCTTTTATTCTCCTTAATTTATCTTTTATTCCCACGTATTTAATTTTTACCAAATTCCATACTCTCATTTATTTTGGTTTGTGGATTGTTCCCTCTAAAAACTTTTGCTGTGCTACTAACAAGTAATTCTAACTCTTAAAAACGCATGCACTAATTAAATAAGGATCATAAGCGTTATCATATACAATTAATTTCATTAGTACATAATTTATTTTAATTGATTTCTTGCTGCAATTCTTAATTGAAATTTTTTGATTTACTTTATTCAAAGCCCCCCCCCCCCCCCC